CCACACATCCTGACACAAGAACAATGGACAGCACTCGTATACATCACACAGACTCACTGTAAATGTTTCATGCAGCCTGCCGGCCTTGTCCACAGTGCTGCAGGCTCTGTGAAGTTCTTGTTGAGTAGAGTGACTCTACTCCGAGCCTGCAGGTGGATCTGCTTGGAGGAGTCAAAAATAAAAAATGAAGACTAAGAAAACACAGCTTGCTTGATTTTAACAGGAACCATGAAAATAGAAATATGACCGTCGGTATTTACTGAGCCTCCCTAAAAAATCATATTTGTTTTCAGTACTCGTGGCTCATAGCAAGACAGGTTCAAACCTCTAAGCTGGCCTGTGTGGAGCTGAATGTGCTCGTGGGTTCCCTCTGGCTACTCCGGCTTCCTCCCACAGTTCAAAGACATACACGTTAGGTTAGTTGAGTCTATACTGGCCAGAGGTGCGAACGCAGAGTAGTTAAAGCACCTCAGAGAAGATAATAAAGTGCTGTGTGAAAAGGTGAGTGTGGGTTGGAGAGTAAATTGCTTTGAGTGTTCAGAGAACTCAAAATGCACCAAATAAATAAAACTAGTTGATTCAAATATGAAGACAAGTTGGTCTCTCCCCTCGATCCCCTACAGTTCAAAGCCTGCTCTGTAAAACACGGCCTTCAAATAGATATATATGTTTTTCTTTGGTCCATAAAGATGTCAGGACCGTGTTTTTCCCAAAGTTAGACTCAGTCAGTGGGAACATGTACAAATATGTTATCTTGCAAAAGAAGGCACACCAACCAAATTCCTCTAGTTGTTGCTCTGTTTATCAGCCTCTGTGAGTTTGTTGTGTCAGCATGTAAACAAGCTCCCCACCTGCTGCGAGGACTGGTTAAAGTGGATCTTGACGTTTCAGCAAATCTCCGGAGCAGAACTGTCGCCTTGTGCTCTCAAAGATGGTTGAGTTGTCTGAATGTGGTCACAGTGGCTAAACCTTCAAAATAAGACGATGGAACAGTAAAATGACACAGCAGATAAACCCACAGCCTCCATGTGAGTGAGCAGCTCCACCAAGTCTGACGCTGCTTAACTCACTTCCCTCACGCTCTCCTCTGCTCAGCGGTAATAAACTCTGTCTCCATCTGCTCAGCCCGAGGACACATCTGAAAGCTGGAGTTACAGACACCGACGCCTCTGATTGGTCACGGATAGAAGCCACAGAGTTAATTTTAGTGACTATCTGTCTTTAAGTTTCCATGGAGACTGAGCGTTAAACGCTGAGAGAAAAGCAGAAACAAAGCACTTTTTTCTTGTCTCCTTTGCAGCTACAGATGAAGCAAACTTTATACTTTTGTACTTTTTTATTTTTAGTCACAGTTTTTTTTTTTTTTTTTATGTAACACCTACACAAGAAGGGATTTGAGCTTCTTATTATTCTGGTGAAAGAGGCAGAAAGTCAGAAGAAAAACGTTATATTTGAAAGGTTTTTTTTCTCATTCCAGCAGTCCACAGCTGTCCTCTCTGGGATTAGATATCATTTTCCTTTCGTCTCTTTCGCAGGCTCGGGGTCTGGATCTGTCCCGGGTTCGAGCCTGCGTGGTGGTGGCAGAGGAGAGGCCCAGGATGGCGCTCACACTCTCTTTCTCTAAGCTCTTCAAAGACCTCGGCCTTCACCCGCGCTCTGTCAGCACAGCCTTCGGCTGCAGAGTCAACCTGGCCATTTGCCTGCAGGTAAAAAGCAAACCAGCTGCTCCTGCAGACTATTCTGTACGTGCAGTTGTCACAAGAACTTGGTAGAGTTCAGACGGAGCTTTGCACTCAACGGTTTTATCCTTCTAAGTATTCTTTTTTATCAGTGGGTTAGGGATGTTCCTGCTCACTGATTTCTAGTCCCTAAGTAGGAAAACTTGGACAAGGTTAAACTTTGTCTAAAGAAATACTTGAAACTGTTAATCAGATGGTTTGACAATAAAAATCATATTTTCTAAGCCACTGAAAGCTGTTACATTGCACATACGCAGTGTCAGGTTAGATTACCAAATGCACCGAGGAAGAGCAATGCACACAAGTGGCCGTATTTCTGATTTGCATGGAAATCGTGCACATTTATTATCCCCAAAGTCGGTCTGTCTTA